GGCCGCGGAAGCGCCGCGAAGCGCCGAGAAGCGAATCGCTCACGAAATTCGGCCGCTGCTCGCCGCTCCTCAGTTCAGATCAGACGCGCCCCAGTCGAGGCGCGCCTCGGCTCAGCTGTAGTTTTTCTTTTAAACACTTGGTGTCCTCCATTTCCTCTCTGCCTTTTCTCAGCTCTTTTCCTACGTTTGAGTGTTTGTGCGCGTGCGCGCGCGTGTGTGTGTGAACCTATGGTATGAGTTGTTTCTGCCAGTTGAATCTCTTGGAACCCGCTCCAATTCTGCAGCTGTATCCTAGCAGTTTCTTCCGACATGGGTACGTAAACAATCATGTTTTTCGGGGGTCGTACAGCTCCTTGTGTTTCTCAACTTCCATAATTAATTTAAAGTCATCCATCCTAACTGCTTGCCTCAGACATTCTGCCTCTCTGTCCTGTTTGCTCCGGTGAAAAGACACCCAAAACCACTCCCCCCTTCACGTGGTCACACACGCACACAAGTTCGATGTGTGTGTATGTGTGTGCGTGTTCGTGTGGTTTTTCTGCAGTGTCTGTTTACGAACACATTTGACTATTGCGGAATTTTATTTTGAAATGCTTTATTTTGTTAACTTTACCGGCCTGCCTCTTATGTCTACGTTTGACTTCCTGCCAGAATTGACGCGATTCACCCGCGGCTCGCGAAAAAAATAGAGCCAACGCCGAAATGATCGCTGCACGGCGCGGGCTGGAGCGCCGGCGCGCGCCGGCGCGAGGCGATTCGCGGCGCTTCGGCGGCCCATGTGGTCTATAGAATAGCTTAACAAGGGCGCCGAATGAAGGCGGTCCCATTTTCGCGGCGCTTCGCGGCGCTTCCGCGGCCAGTGTGTCCCCGGCCTAAGTCTCCCCATCAGCCAGATCCAGGTTTGATTACTGGCTAATGTGGACGTTTTATTTAAAAAAAAAACTGTTTTTGTGTCAGAACAGTTTTATTTTTATTTAATAATATGAATGTAGGATATATTATCTTATACATAAGGGTAGAGATGTGTAAACAGATTTAATACAAGACTAAAGCTGTGAATATTCAGTCTGAATTGATCTACATCAGACAACAGTGCTGACCAACAATCTGAAAAATCTGTTTCTGACAGAAAGAAAAAAGGAATAATTCACTCACAACAACAGCTGGAACTTAATTATTTTTCAGATGGCCAAAAGAAAAAACAGTGGCCAAAATTGCAGTAAATGCACCAGAATGCAGAGTTTAACACTTATTTTTTCAAATATTTTTAAGGAAGCATGTACAGAATTTATTTTATTCTTAAGCCATACTGCCCAGCTCTACTTGTAAATAAGTTTAACCGTGTTCACTTATTATCACATTCAAATCTTCCTCTCATCAGCCACAAAATAATCTCACTCTTCACTGTAGCACCTACCTGCACTTCAGCTGCTCTCTGTCTCACCCTCAGCAGGTCTGGCGCTCCCTGTCTCCATAGGCGTCATTTTAACCGGGGACGCCGGGGACATGTCCCCGGCAAAATTTGTGATTGGCAGCTGTGTCCCCCCCACTTTCAAAAAAGCCTGCTGATGAGGATTTTTGTTTTACCAGCTCAGATCTTATACCAGGGGTCGGCAACCTGTTCCCATCAAAGAGCCATTATTGCATTTCCCGCAGTAAAGAAAACACTGGGAGCCGCAGCGTTGTGGGCGGGGCCTACCCTCAGACAGCAGAGAGCCGCTCCTAACAGGTGACAGCACAGTCAGCAGCCGGTACCGGTCGCTCGCATGGGCATCGCACCCGTGGGGGATTCAACACCCACACTTTTCCAGCTGTTTTGCTCACCTCCACACCAGTCTGGTTTCTTTACGTCACACTCACTCTGTTTGCCTCATCTCCTTCTTCACCTCCCGCTTCTGACAACCGATGTCGGGTTTCCAGGAGAGCAGAAGAGGGAGGGACGGAAGAGCTCGACTGAATTCATAATTTTACATCTTGACATTAGCTGTACAAAGTCTGAGTTTGATAAAGTGAAGAACAACCATTTGCAGAGGTTTATAACTGGCGCGGCGCCAGGTTTTCATTTTTGGGTGGGCCACGGTAATTTTGGACGGACCTTAATAAGCAGTGACTTAAGTGAAGCAGGCAGGTCGCGCTAGAAAATTTCGTTTAAAAAGACGTCATAAATGTTTCCCCCCATCATTTTTATTTCTAAAATATGAAGTAAAAACTCACAATTTAATTTTCATTCATTTGTCATTAATATGTAGTCTACACCCGTGCGTTAAGTGGACCATCTTCCAGCATCCAGCCCACCTCTCCAAATGCGTAAAATGTGCATCAGCCACTAGTTAGGCGTGCCGCGCGCACCGTCAGGTCAGCCCAGACAAGAGCAGAGCAAATAGAGAAAGAATAGAGGATAATTCTGTCTGGATGTGGATGGAGATTACATTTTACAGCAGCCTGATCATCATTTAAATACGTACACCATCACCTGTCTTCTAGTCCACGCTATCGGCATTGTTTTAATTGGTGTGTGTGTGTGTGTGTGTGTGTGTGTGTGTGTGTGTGTGTGTGTGTGTGTGTGTGTGTGTGTGTTCCACATCAAACACTGGTCTAACCAACCAGACCAGTAACATATTAATGTTACAATTAAACAGTTTCACTTCATGTAGGCTAGGAACATTTCACCTGCCGTGGCCCGACCGCTTCTGCTCCACATAAACTTTGTGCGTGATCAAATGTCTCTACAGGTACTTTCTGAGCTGAAGAGGCAATTCTGCCTCAGACTGGATGCGTCATGCGTCTCCATATTAGAGACGGGAACTATTCAGCCAAAGTTTCATAATTTCATAAAAAGAACATTTTTCCAAGTGACACATCCCTCAGAGAGACCGGGTTTCCAGACCGCTTCAGTGGGAGGAAATCTTATCGCATGCGCTGTGGTTCTGCACTGACGCATGACGCGTCAACCCGGTCTCACAGTAAGACCGGGTTGGACCTGTTCAGGTTTACGCAGACAATCTTTACATTTAGAATTGGCATACAGATGTAAAATTAATGCAGTAAAATATAAATCTTTTTATTTAAATAGCCATTCATTATTTTACAAGCACAGAGAGCCCAGATGGATGGAAGAGCCGCATTCGGCTCCAGAGCCGCGGGTTGACGACCCCTGTGCTAGCCTACTTTATTGTCCCCAGCAATTTTTAAACCCCACTCAAGTGTATGGTTATTGTCCCCAGCAATTCTGAAAACAAACTGACGCCCTTGCCTGTCTCACCCTCAGCAGGTCTGGCTCTCTCTGTCTCATCCTCAGCAGGTCTGGCTGTCTCATCCTCAGCAGGTCTGGCTCTCTTTTCAGTCTCACCCTCAGCAGGTCTGGCTGTCTCTGTCTCACCCTCAGCAGGTCTGGCTGTCTCTGTCTCACCCTCAGCAGGTCTGGCTCTCACTCTCCCTGTCTCATCCTCAGCAGGTCTGGCTCTCTCTGTCTCACCCTCAGCAGGTCTGGCTCTCTCTGTCTCACCCTCAGCAGGTCTGGCTCTCGCTCTCCCTGTCTCATCCTCAGCAGGTCTGGCTCTCTCTGTCTCACCCTCAGCAGGTCTGGCTCTCGCTCTCCCTGTCTCATCCTCAGCAGGTCTGGCTCTCTCTGTCTCACCCTCAGCAGGTCTGGCTCTCTCTGTCTCATCCTCAGCAGGTCTGGCTCTCTCTGTCTCACCCTCAGCAGGTCTGGCTCTCTCTGTCTCACCCTCAGCAGGTCTGGCTCTCTCTGTCTCACCCTCAGCTGGTTCCTGCTGAACGTCATCTGATCTCTTATATGAAAAAAGTGACATGAATGGTTTTAAAATAAAATTTGATGGGAATGTAACAAACAAGCAACAATCACACATACAAACTCCATGTTTAAGTGGAGATTCTACTTTTTATTTATTTCGTGTCAAATTGTTTTTGTCTGTTACTGTCAAATTCGCCATTTTTTTGTTGACTAGTAATGTTGTTTAATGTTTAATGCTGTTTAGCAAGATGTTTACATCAGTGAGCCAGTCTAACGTTTGAGCAAAAATACAATTATCCTCTTGGACTAAATTATTACCAACTCACATTTCCTTTCTTTCTTTCTTTGCCCATGAGAACTCGCTGAGCTGCTGCTGTCGTCTCATCAGTGACACCTGTAACTGCGCCCCGCCCCCGACTCCTGCTTCACTCAGCCAGTCTGTCTGACTCCCTGAGGGGAGGGGCTGTGTCGGTGGGAAGTCCGCGGTGTCTTTCAAAATAAAAGCTCGCGAGTCATATATTTCAAAATCTTTTTTTTTTGTTCATCTCCACGTTATTGGGGGTAGGACAAATACGCGTTTGTGCAATATTGGAGGGGACACGTCCCCCCCTCCCCCCTTCCTACGCCCTCAGGGTATCTCAAATCCGGTAAGCGCTAGGTCTACTCCGACAGCTTCTGGCGTTTTAAAAAGTATCCCAGGGACATTATCCTCGGCTCTCTTTGTAATGGCGGCGCTGTAAACAACAGCGGCGTCCTGACCAATCACAAGCTTGCGTAATCCGTCTCGTTCGACTGATGTTTAAAAAAGTGGGCTCGACTCCGCACGCATGTGGCATGCCTGCTGGAGCCCTACGCAAGGACGAATAAAGGCGTTGCGTGTCTCCGCACTGACGCAGACGGAGAAGCATAAATCAGGCTTAAGGGTCGGAGATGTTTAGTCTATTTAATTTCTGACTACATAAAACGATGTATTCGGTTTTAAAGTGTGAAATTAACTCCGACGGAGTAAAATCCAAGCCGCTCTGTTCATTTTGTTTACTTTTGTTGCCTCCCAACATGGCGTGAGAGTCACGTGACGTTCGGAGCTCTAACAGAGTTTTCACATCTTCATTTGTAATTTTAAGAATACAATTAATACTGAAATAAATTGCTGCTATATTAAATATTAAACAAGATTACAAGTTGTTACGGCTTGCCATAGTCGAACTTTTTGGACCATTTGGCTTCTGTTGTGACGTAGACCCGATGTGCGCTAGAACCAGAACACGGGGAAGTGGAATCTCGTCCAGAAGTCTGCTTCTGAGGAGACTTTTGCTGCCAGCAGTTCGGACAGGGAACCAGAGCAGCATTATCCGCTAGTATCATAACTGCTGGTAAGTGAGTGTCAGGCAGGAAATTTAAAAGCAGGCATGCTTTGTTAGTGGAGAATTGGAAAGTTAGGTCAGACAATGTTATAAACTGGTAGAAAAGGTTTCAATGTAATTTTTGATTTGCTGCTGTAAGTCTGGGCGATATGAAAACAAAATCCAATCACGATATTAATTTTCATAATGTTGCCAACTGTTGCATTATTTCGTGCCTGGTGTTTGTGTGTGCGTGTTGGGGGGTATTCCCGCACATATTGCATCTCCCGCCTCAACCGGGTGAGGGGGGAAGGGGGACTCCGGCTCTTGTGCCGAGAAGAGCATGAGAAGAGCTTTCCCGTTTCGGGCAGATAAATAAAAGAGATGACGGTTTTTAACACATTTTATTCATTTATGGTTTGAGTCACATTCCTGCTTTTTTTAACCAATAGTTTAAGCAAGCAGGGGGAAAGAATACTCACTAAAATATTAGTCTTAAAGCTGCTTTCCGGAGTTTTCCCCTTTCAGAAATGCTGTATGATTTTTCAGAAAAACTTAAAAGTGATTATTTTATCATGTACTGTGATATAATGTTAGCAATATGCAAGGGCGTCAGTTTGTTTTCAGAATGGCTGGGGACAATAACCATACACTTGAGTGGGGTTTAAAAATTGCTGGGGACAATAAAGTAGGCTAGCACAGGGGTCGGCAATCCGCGGCTCTGGAGCCGCATGCGTCTCTTCCATCCATCTGATGCAACTCTCTGTGCTTGTAAAATAATAAATGGATATTTAAATAAAATGCTTTATATTTTACTGCATTAATTTTACACCTGTATGCCAATTCTAAATGTAGATTGTCTGCGTAAACCTGAACAGGTCCAACCCGGTCTGCGGTGGTTGACCGGTCACGCTTGTGCGTAATCATATGGGCACTTTATGAGCTGAAGAGGATGTGAGATTCTGGGCTTCTCCTCAGACGGCTCCTAGATGTGTCGCCACATTGGAGCCAGGAACAAGCACTATTCAGCCAAAGTTTATAATCAGGGAACATTTTCTAAGTGACAAGTCTCTGAGAGACAGGGTTTGGAAAACACTCGCTTCAGTGGGAGGAATCTTCCCACATGCGCACTGCATGGTTCTCTGCGTGGCTCTAGGGTTAATCAAGTTTAATTGTTTCTCTTTGCAACAATCTTCACAGGAAGGCAAAACAGTTAAACGGCAGGTTACATATATTTCCATTTGACTGTTTATTTTGACAGATGAACTCAAGGATGTTGCTTGGTTTGAAAGAATTACCCCCACGCACACTGATGCACATGGATGAGCTGACATTTTAATCGTTAACGCACATCGCGGAGGTAAAATATTCCCATCAGAACATCAGAGCTCTTTATACTGGACACTGTGTTCAGCGCGGCTCGGAGCGCCCCCGGTGGACAGTGAGCTGAAGATCTGGGGTTCCAGCGCAGTGCAGCTCAGCGCAGAACCACGCGCATGCGATGATTTCCTCCCACTGAAATAGTCTGGAAACCCGGTCTCTCTGAGGGATGTGTCACTTGGAAAGTGTTCTTTTTATGAAATTATGAAACTTTGGCTGAACAGCGCTTGTTCCCGTCTCTAATATGGAGACGCATGAAGCGTAGAGACATTTGATCACGCACAAAGTTTATGTGGAGCAGAAGCGGTCGGGCCACGGCAGGTGGAACGTTCCTAGCCTATATACATGAAGTGAAACTGTTTAATTGTAACATTAATATGTTACTGGACACGCTGGTCTGGTTGGTTAGACCAGTGTTTGAAGTGGAAAACACACACACACACACACACACACACACACCAATTAAAATAATGCTGATAGCGTGGACTAGAAGACAGGTGATGGTTTACCTATTTAAATGATGATCAGGCTGCTGTAAAATGTAATCTCCAGACACATCCAGACACAATTATCCTCTATTCTTTCTCTAGTTGCTCTGCTCTTGTCTGGGCTGATCAGCTGATGGTGCGCGCGCGCCTAACTAGCGGCTGATGCACATTTTACGCATTTGGAGAGGTGGACTGGATGCTTTGCGTTTACTGGAAGATGGTCCACTTAACGCACAGGTGTAGACTACATATTAATGACAAATGAATGAAAATTAAATTGTGAGTTTTTACTTCATATTTTAGAAATAAAAATGACGGGGGAACACATTTATGACGTCTTTTAAACGAAATTTTCTAGCGCGACCTGCCTGCTTCACTTAAGTCACTGCTTATGAAGGTCCGTCCAAAATTACCGTGGGAAACGGGTAATAATGGTTCTTTGATGGGAACAGGTTGCCGACCCCTGGTATAAGATCTGAGCTGGTAAAACAAAAATCCTCATCAGCAGGCGTTTTTGAAAGTGGGGGGGACACAGCTGCCAATCACAAATTTTGCCGGGGACATGTCCCCGGCGTCCCCGGTTAAAATGACGCCTATGGCAATATGTCTTTTTTTTTTTTTGCCAAGCATGCTCCCTGCCAATGTTGCCAGATCCAAAATCCCACAATATCGTAGCCTGGCAAGCAGGGTCCGAAATTAAATTTTTTACTCACCGGCCAAGTTGGCCGGTAGATGATGAAAATCTACCGGCCAAGCATATTTTTTACCGGCCAAAATTCTAAATGATTTAGATCTACCTAAAGCATGTAATTCTATATTATGTTGATTCCAAACAGAGTGACAAAATAATCAAAACATCAACTAATAAGAAAAACAACTCTTTTGTCATTTTTACTATTTATTTATTTATTTTTAGAGATGTTTTTATGAACTCTTTCATTGAAATCTAGTCAGACTCCTTGTTTTCTCTGTCCATGAAGTCTGGCCTCCTGCTTCTGACACCGTCTTTGTGCCAAAGCATTACAGCCTCATTTGGGTCCTAGTCCTTGATCTCTGGAGAACACAGCTGCAGCATGAGAATATCTGAAAGTGTGTCAGGGCTAGGGTTGTCACAGTAACCGGTGTAGCGGTAAATCCCGGTAAAAAAGTTGACAATAATAATAACTGTCTTGTTTTTAAATTTTTTTTTATCTCGGTGGATTACCGTGGCTGCGGTGTAGGCGCGGTGACCCTTACCAGCCACCGTATCATCTGCTGGAAGTTGCCGGCGGCACATGCGCACTTTGTTGTTTACGACCAAAACTTTCTTTAAGCTAATGCTGAAATAATGGCAGGAGGAGACGGCAGCACTTGGGACATTTATTATCCCTCAAAGAAGACAAAGTCGGAAGTATGGGCATTTTTTGGATATTTGAAGAATGCCGGGTGCCAGTTGTCTGTGAAAGGCAGCAACGCTACGTGGCCATCATAATGTAGCCTGTCTCACGACTCCGCCGTCTCCGGTTCGCCACTTTTCACAAAATCTTCTGGTTGCCACTGGTCCTGGTGGTTTTTCTTCCAGTTCGACGAGTTTTCTTTTGGAAGGCTGGCTGACTCCAGTTAAAAACCGCCACATTTCACCGCTAGTTTTAACACGAAGCTAACCGCTAACTTGATAAACTGAATGGGATAGGTGGAAATGACGTTGGATGCGGCGTTCACGTTTCGCGTACGTTTGTGTATGTTGTATGCAGGCGGGAGGAGTATCAGAAATCCGTGGAAGATGACTGATAAACATAACTAATTTGGTGCAAACATTTACTCGCCAGGTGGCAAGTAGAGCTCAAAAATGTACTCGCCAAATGGAGCAATTTACTCGCATTTGGCGAGTGGCGAGTGTTAATTTCGGACCCTGCTGGCAAGCCAGACTAAATTTAAGTATAGATGTCTGGTTTGGCGCAATGCATTTTACCCATTCTTTGTGTTTAGATCCCTTTGCATGATTCTTTAGAACGGTGATTTCTGATACCACCTGGATGTTGCACCAAAGACAGAAAGCCTTGGTTTCGTTCCCCGTAACAGGTGCAAGCCATCCTTTGAAAATAGGGTCCAACTCCCACGCAGGACGATAAACTTGTGTCCGGTGTTGCTTTGCTTTACCTTCATTCGTCCCTTCTCTGGTTTTTCTTTTAAGATTAGAAGCCATTGTCTCGTCGCTCTGTCCTCCTAGCTTAGACTTAACTCGGCGCGCTTGCGGGCAAACAGCAAAAACTGGCGAGCCACTGCCACATTATATAACCTTACAGTTTCTCGCGTGAGTAGGCCCTATCGATGTGATTGGGCTATTTATTGTACAGATCCAGAGTCAGTTTTTGTAATAGACACAATAGCATAAACCTGTAAGGACTGAGGTGAAATCTGACTTCAGAACAGTTTAAAATTATGTAATTGACTTGGGAAAGCCACAGCAAAAGACGGTGTTACTAGATGCAATGTGAAATTATCGTACATTTGAGGATTTTTGAAACTATTGATCGTACATCGTACAGAGCCCAATATTATGGTACAAATACGATAATTATCGTACATCTGGCAGAACTGCTCCCTGCCCTGCAGAGCTCTGTGCAATAGGAAACTGAGCGCCGACCAGAACTAACCAATAGTGTTAGACTTAGGGCTGGGCGATATGACGATTTTAGACCGTTTTACGGTCTACACATCTGACGGTCTGTCATTTTTGAGAGACCGTTTTATCACGATTCACAGCTCTGCTGTTGAATTTCTGCCTCTGAATGAAAAGGGAACCTACCGCAGGCGAATGGCACGCCTTTGTTTGACCCTTAACCAATCAGAGTGAGTCATAGTAATATATTAGTGCCCCGCTTGTTTTCACCTGTGTGTGAACAAACATGGCTTCGCCGCGGCTGAGCGACAACGAGGTTTTCGTTCCGAAGAGGAACGCAGGGTTTCCTTAGCGCGCGGCACTAACAACTTAGTGACGTGACATGTCTCGGAGAAAGCGTAAAAACACGTTGGACGCTTCTTCTGAAGCTGGAAAATAACACTTCTTCTTAAGCAGAGCACGACGTCGCCTCGGCTCGTCCACCCTCTGCCGAGCCGGTGTCGGTACCGGACTGAGCTCGGTCACTGGGTCGATGGAGCTGCCCCGTGACTGCCTGATGG